AAATCACACATCAGACCATTGCCCCAAATGGAGAGAAAGACAGGCAGACACATAGAATGCTAATCTACTATAACAGAAACCCAGGAGCAGAAACATCCATGGGAATCAGTACCAATAGCAGGAACTAGGTACTAGGAAGACCTGAACTAAAAATAAATTGCTGGAGGCTTAGTGTGAACAAGTTAAAAACTCCAGGGAACTTAGTTTTAGGAGGTTCCTGATACTTTTGAGTGTTACCTCCAGGAACCCTATCAGGTTCTCTTAGTGAAAATTGGAGGACAATCCCTTTCAGATGGAGGGAAAATGTATTGTTTTGAAATACATCTAGAGCATTCTGTTCTTAACAAGGTCTGCCCACAAGAGAAACTCTTTGCAGACTCTAACCAATTAGGGAATATTATCAGTCCAGTTGACTAGAAAGAAGGGAAATATCTAAGTCCAGCTCACTCTGACCATCTTGTCCAACCTAATCCCTGAGGGGACAGGAAAACACTTGTGAAAATCACAGCCCAAGGGCACAGGTCACTAAAAGACGAAAGACCTAATTATGGGATTATAGGCTGTCTCCCCTGCCCCCACATTACCACTACATCTTTAAACACTTATATACCAGTTTCTTTTACTCAGTACATCATGTTTGGCTTTCAACAAAATTCACAAAGTTACTAAAGGGCAAAAAACAATCTGAGAAGTCAGAACTCTGATGTGGCAAAGATGTGGGAATATCAGATCCTTGTCTGATTTAATACAAATGTTATTAATATGCCAAGGGTTCTACTGCAAAAAGTAGACAACATGCAAGAACAGATGAACAATGCAGGTAGAGAGATGAAAATTCTAAGAAAAAATAAAGAAGAGATGCTAGAGATTAAATATCTGCAATAGAAATGAAAAATGCCCTTGATGAACTTTTGTCATCTGAACACAACTCTGGCAAGGATCTCTAAGCTTGAAGATCCCTCAAACCACAAAGAACCTTAAAAAAAAAAAAAAAAAGGAACAGAATATCTAAGAACCCTGGGACAACTACAAAAAGTGTAACGTGTAATGGTAATAACATTAAGAAAACAAAGAAATGTTTGAAGCAATCATGATTGAGGATTTCCCAAAATTAGTTTTGTTTTTTTTTTTAAAGGATGGGTCCAAGAGTCTTGGTGAACAACATCAAGCAGGATAAATGCTGAAAAGTCAAAATCTATGCAATTATATTCAATCTGCAGAAATAAAAAGTTTTTGAAAGCAGAGAAAGGGGGAAAGTTCCTTTCTTATGGGAGAGGAAGTATATGAATTACACCAGACATTAGAAACCATGCAGATAAGAAGAGAATGGAGCATTTCCAACTTTGGCCATTACTTAAAAGCTTTTCTGAATGTTATGTATTTTGCTTTTTGTATGAATATGAGTTTTCTTTTTTCTGGGATAAATACTCAAGAATATTATCACTGGGTCTTATGGTAGTTGCATGCCCAGTTTATTTTAATTTATTTTTATTATTTTATATCTTCTTTTTAGTTAAACATGAAAGTACAATGTATTTTGACATATCATGGAGTATAACTTCCCCTTTTTGTAGTTGTATATGATGTGTAGTTACACTGGTTGTGTATTCCTATATGAACATAGGAAAGTTATGTCTGATTCATTCTATGATCTTTTTCATTCTCATCTCCCCTCCCTTCCCCTTACTCCACACTGTCCAAGCTGGTGATAACTGTCCCCACCCCGCTATTGTGAGTCAGCATCCACATATCAGAGAGAACATTTAGCATGCCGTTTTTTTGGTTTTTGTTTTTGTTTTAAGAAACTGACAAATGGCAATGGATATAGCATAGTGAATCCTGATTATAATGTAACACTAAAAAAATTTTAAAAAGGAAACTGACAGGACTGGGATTGTGGATCAGCAATAGAGTGCTCACCTATCATAGGTAAGGCCCTGGTCGATCCTCAGCTCTACATAAAAATAAATAAATAAATAAAGGTATTTAAAAAGAAAAAAAAAAGTAACTGACAAATGGTTTTCCAGAGCACATGTGCCAACAGTTAATTGCAAGAAAGTCTTCTATTAAAGATAGTTCTTTTTTTTGTTTTGTTTTTTGATTTTTGTTTTTTAGTTTAGAAGGGTCTACTGGACATTTCTGTACTATCTTTGCATTGCAACTTCCTATTAATCTATAATTTATAATTCAACATTAAAACTTTAAACACTTATTTCTAAATGACAATGAATATCAAATCACTTTGGTATTTGGATTCCAGTGAATAAATGAAAAAAATAAAGTAATGCTGATATTTACAGTTTTCTAGAAGTGATATGCTTTGCAGTTATTTAAACTTACGTAAAAAAAATTAGATGCCAACCTAAGTAAATGGAAGAGTCTATAGTCCTTTTGAATTTTTTTAGGTGGATACCTAAGTTAAAAGAAATTAACTGTCTTAATTGTGTTTATGGTCAGCACATAATAAAAATCCTTTTGTGACCATGGATAATTTTTTTTTTTTAAAGAGAGAGTGAGAGAGAGAGGGGGACAGAGAGAGAGAGAGAGAGAATTTTTTAATATTTATTTTTTCTTAGTTCTCGGCGGACACAACATCTTTGTTTGTATGTGGTGCTGAGGATCGAACCCGAGCCGCACGCATGCCAGGCGAGCGTGCTACCGCTTGAGCCACATCCCTAGCCCCTGACCATGGATAATTTTGAGGTGACCTATGAACTTCTGACATTTTAATTCAGCATTAATGTTTTGAAGTTTTGCTTTGGGGGTCCTTAATGAACATCAGCATCTTGTAGTCTGCTGTTCTATCCAGCTAAAAGGTAGTAAAAAGAGAAAATAGCTGAGTCTGCATGATCAAAAGACTTTCTTTTTACCAAAAGTGTGTTCTTATCTTCATAAGACATTTACAGTTGAATGTGAGAGATGGTGTTCCACCCCTTTTCTTCACTCTGTATTCTATGTTTAATCTGTGTGAGTGATCTAGTTTTTGTCTTTGCCATTATCTGGTGTTATCACTATTTTTTAAAAGATGTTTTAATTCTGGTAAAATATTCATACAAATTCCCTTTTATTTTATTTTTTTATTTTTGTGTTGCTATGGATAGAATCCAGGGTCCTCACACACACTAAAAGCAAGTGGTCCACCACATCCCCATTCCCAAATTTGCCCTTAAAGTGTACATTTCTAAGGCATTAAGTAGAATCATAATAATATATGACCACTAATGTTCTAGAAGTTCTTCATCTTTTTATCATCCCAAACACAAACTGTACACCTAAAGTAATACATTACTCCTTTTCCTCATCTTCTGGTACCCTCTAGCCTACTGTCTATAGATTGCCTATTTTAGTTATCTCATGTAAGTGAAATCATAAGTTTGTCTTTTTGTGCCTGACATTTTATTTTATTTAAGGTTTATCCACATTGTAACATGTGCCAATTTCTTTTTATTTCCTTTTTACTACTTTTTAAGGCTGAAAACACTATTGAATGTATATTCTGTATTTTATTTATCTATTCATTTGTAGATGGTCATTTTTTTTTCCCTTTCAGCTACTGTGAACAATGCTGCTGTGAACATTGTATGATATATATCAGTTTGAGTCCTGCTTTCAGTTCTTTTGCCTGTATGCATAAGGGTGGTACTTTAGCTAAATCATGTAATAATTCTATGAGTAACTTTTTGAGGAATTGTCAGACTTCTCCACAGTGATTGTACTGTTCCCATCAGCAGTGCACAAAGCTTCTGTTCATATCCTCACCAACACTTGTTATTTTCCTTTTTAATATTTAAAAAAATAGTTCCTCAATGAATGTGAGGTAGTGTCTCATTGTGGTTTTGGCTTTATTTTCCTGAAGGTTAATGATGTTCAGCATCTTTTCACGTACTTACTGGCCACTTATATACTTTGAAGGAATGTCCTTTGCCCGTTTTTGAGTCTGCTTGTTTTTTTTGTGGGTGAATTTTGGGAGGATTTTTTTATATATCCCTTTATATTATGCTTTGCAGTACTTTCACTCTAAGTTGTCTTTACCCTTTGTTGATGGTTCCCTTTAAGCATAATTCTTAACATTTTGAATGAAGTCCAGTATACCTATTTTTCTTTTGTTGCTTGTGCTTTTGGTGTCATAACCAAGAAATCATTGTCAAATCCAGTGTGAACATTTTCCTGTTTTCTTGTAAGAGTTTCATAGTTGTAGCTATTATGTTTATATTTTTGGTCCATTTTGAGTTTATTTTTATATATGAAATATAACAAAAGAGCTCACCTTCACTATTTTTCATACATATATCCATTTTTTTCCCATCATCATTTTGTTAAAAAGATGTCCCTTCTCCACTGCATGATGTTGACATCCTTGTTGTAAATTATTTGAAAATCATGTGAAGGTTTATTTCTGGGCTTTTTGTTCTATTTCATTGTTCAGTGCATCTACTTTTATACTTTTTCCACACTGTTTTGATGTCTGTAGCTTTATAGTAAGTTTACATTCAGACATTGAAGATAACCATAAAGATGAATAATATGGTGACTGTTTTTTAAAAAACTGAAGTGTAAGCTCTGAGAACAAAGAGTTTTATATTTTGTTTATATCATCCCTAATGTCTAGACCAGTCTCTATCATATAATACTTGCTAAATAGAAATTGCTCAGTAAATGGATCCTCCCATTTGTCATATGGGATAATTATATTTAAAATTCATATGGGATATTATATGATGGAATCCTCCTATCAGCTTAGAATCTGATGGACAGGACAAGACTAGACTTGAAAATAATAGGAACAAGATTTGATAGGTTAGCAAGTTTTTTTTTTTCTTTCTTAAAAAAAAACCTTTCTTAGTTCTAAATATTGTCATCTCAGTGTGAGTATTCTGATAGCATGGGATTTGGGGGATGCAAACTTCAGCAACTACTACTTCAAGCTGGCCCACAGACTCACTTCTTAACTGGGTATGTCAAGATCTTATTCCTAGTATTTTCCACATGAGTTAACTTACGTTGTCTGCACTGTTAAGTTCATGGCTTGAAATCCTCATAGCACATTTTTTTTTAAATGTTATTATTACTAAATTTAAAAGTGGAATTCTAGGCTATTGGAGATGGACAGACTTAGGAGTTTTAGAATACTTATAAATTTAAGAATTGTTTAGGAATAATGTGAGAATTCTGAGAAAGAATTCTCAGCTTGAATCTTATCAGATCTTGGGCCCAGTTGTTACAGTTAATCCCTTGCCTGGAAGCAGTTCTCTATTCTTGAATCTTCTTGGGACTTATTCTTTCCTAGGATTGGCACATAAAGCTGCCTGTGAAACTTATCTGGTATAGAAGGACAGGAGAGAAATTACACCAAGCCTCCAATATGAATTGCAGAACATTCACTTTTGTTCCAATTTTTATATAGCACCTTCCTTTTCCTCAGTGTAGAGGAATAAAAGAGATGATTATCTCCGCTATTTGAGGCTATTACTTTAGTTTCTTTTAGGTTGTGTCACAGTAGAGTGAGGAGTTGAAGCTTCAAACCTCAGTTTCTTGTATCTGATGAAAGAGAATGTAAAGTCAGACACGAAAAGCAAAGCAAGAAAAATTTTGTTGTAAGTGAAAGTGATACTGAAAGTATGATTTGGGGAGGGGGCCAGGGCATAGAGAGGGGTCTGAGCAGAGAATTACAAAGAAAACAATATTACTTCCAAATTTTTTATTGTTTGATGTTTACCAGAAGAACTAGGACCCACCTTCTGTACTCATTGCCAATCACTTGTTTCACTCCTCCTTTTTGTTGGGAAGGGGAGGTTTTGACCCTAATTGATCTTCTCCAGAACTATCAAGGAGACCATCACACACAGGGGATTCATCTTCAAGTCATTTAATGTTAATATGAGTGTTGGGGGTCAACTTCATCTTAAAGTGCTTTACTAAAGAAATTTCCCTTCTGAAATACATTGAGAAACCTGTAACTAATAGTACAAAGATCCCAGTAGACTCTGTCAGGATTTAGCACCATTGATCTTTCCTTCTGGACATTTTTCTTGATTGGTTCCCTTTGTTTTCACCTGTTTATTCCCAGGTTAGTATACCTGTTGTATTTCTACAAGTTACTTGATTGTTCACTAAAGTCAATTCAAAGAAACCCTGGGACCCTGCTGCAATGTTGTTGGCTCGTGTCCCATTGCTTAGTACTATTATCTAACAGTTTTAAGAAACAAATTGGTTTAGTTTTCCTTATATATTTATTGTGGAGATATATATCTGTTGGCCTTCCATGAAAATTGATACTGTGCTGACTCTAGCTATTGTAGTGCCTACTTATCCTCTTGTCCACCAGACGTTGCCATTTCTAATATTTCTACCATTTTGATGAATCTACTTACCTCTCCTAGTAATCTGTGTCTACTCTATTTCTCTTCTGGCCATGGCTCTCCAATTTATTTTGTCCTCTTGGCTTGTTACTTATTAGGGAAAGGATATAACTGGGCTATGCAGTTGCTATCTAGTTGGGCAGTGCTCTTATGAGTCACCTCTTAGGGCCTCTGTGACAGTCTTTGGGTTGGATGCTTATCCCTGGTCAAAGTTACTTGAAATCAGATTTTTGGTGTCACCTAAATCATAGTGATCATACTGAAAGAACTGTTGTCACTTTCCTTATAAGGAGCCTTGTCAGATACTTAGGACATTTATATTATTCACCCATTAATAGGCTCCTGGGAGCTTTCAGACTAAAGGGGAAGTAGAAAGTGCTGCACATGCATTGGGTATATTTTTGATCTTCAGAAGGAGTTATCCAAAACAAAATATCTTTAGTTGCTCTGGCCGTATAGCCCTTTGTAGAAGTAGTGCTTTAGAAACTAGTAGCAACTCAGGTATATTATACTTCTGTTTTCCATTTCTTTGCTTAAATGAGAAAGAAAGGATCAAAATGTATAGCTGGACATGAATGCATGTAGCTGGACCATTAAATAAAATATAGAAAGGAAAAAATGGATTGTTGTGGCCAGCAGCCTACTAATGTACAGGGAATTGGAAGGCAGCTCAGAGTAGCAAGTCTCTATTCACATTTTCTTTCCAGCATAGTTACGAACATAATCAGAAGTCTCAGTAAGAGTTTTCTCTAGTAAGATCTTTTTTTTTTTTTAATTGGTTGTTCAAAACATTACAAAGCTCATGACATATCATCTTCCATACATTTGATTCGAGTGGGTTATGAACTCCCATTTTTTACCCCAAATACAAGTTGTAGAATCACATCGGTTACACATCCACATTTTTACATAATACCATATTAATGACTGTTGTATTTTGCTACCTTT